CAGGGAAAGTGTTAGCGTGCACCCTACAGAGTCAGCTGGGCAGAGTGCTTTGAACTGGGTTCCGGGTAGGCACAGCAGGGCAGTCTCGGATTTCTCTGTCTGTAATCCTTGTCAGTAGGGTCAGTGAGTACCTCGGTGTTCTGGGCTATGAGTGTTTGTGGCGATAACGGCACAGCATTGCTGGGAGGGAGGCCTCTGTGTGGGCCGGTTGACCACCAGTGCTAGCAGGGGCTGAGGGTGCCAGCCCACAGAGTGTAGGGAGCAAGTGGACCCTGGAGGTAGGGGTGGGATACAAGCCTGGGGTAATGGGGGAAGGACGTACCAGCCCACGGACTCCAGGATGCGTGCGTGACAGTTCACCTGGTCCTATGAGCAGATTCCTCAGGGTGTGGGACTGTGTCCTGGAATGCACGGTCCTGAGTGGCTGTGGCTGCTGGGCTCCGAGCCCTACTGCTCAGTCTAGTTGCGGTGGCAGCCGTAACCCACTAGGAGAGATATTAGTAGGGTCTTAGGGGTATGGAGCTGTGAAAGCTTCTGGGCCTCTGGGCAGTTTCACTCTAATAATGGTTCTAGTCTCAAAATAGTGCAGTGCTGAAAGAACTAAGGTTAGGGTGGGAGTCAGCCTATCTGAATTCCCTCCCTGGAGTTATGAAGCTGAGTGGGTTTCAGGGAATTCCCAGCAGAGGGCCTCAGTTTGCAGTACCACACTCCCGCAGCTAGGACTGCAGTGGTTCGTGGTGGTGGCAGGGCCCCTGGGGATCTCTTCCTTAGTCTTCCCCAGCCATGAGGAGTTTCTCCGGCTCTGGGCTGACCTCACCTAGATGTTCTGCTTTTCCTTCTATGCTGTCATACTCATTCACTTCCTGGGTGGATGCCAGAGTTCCTTCTCAGACATTGCACTCAAAGTGTATTTCTAAGATTTTGTTCCTTCTTTGAGGAGGAGAGAAGTGCTGGGTGTGTCTCTCCGGCTACCTTAGTGACATCGACGACCTGGCCACGCTCTCTGCTCTGCCTCACGTTTCCCCCCTGCACCTCACCACGGGCCTGTGCCCGCACCGGGATTCTGTAGCACAGACCTGAAATGTGCTGAGAGAGTGGGTCTTAAATGTTACTACTGCAAACACAAGGCACCTAAGTGAGGTGATAGATGTGCTAACTAACTTGACAGTGGTAATCATTTCACAATATACAAATACAAAGGCATTATGAGCACATTAAATATGTATGATTTTGTCAATTAGACTTTAATAAAGCTGGGGTGGAAAAAAAATAATCTTTAAACCAATGTTTTCACATACAATAAATACTGCCATTAATCATTCAATCAACAGGTTTACTGTGTAGAAAGGGACGAGGCTTAGTGCCAGCAGGTGGTGGTTAAGGCACTGGACTCCCACATGGCCCACTGCGGTTCCAGTCCTGGACTGGTGGCTTGAAACCCACGCTGGGTGCGTGTGTGTGTGTGTACCAGAGTGACCATCCCCCCTGGAAGGTGATTTCTCACTTTTCCTCTCTCTGTCTTGCTCCAGCAAGTGCACGTGCCCTGAGCAAAAACCTAAAGAAGAAGGAGAAAAGAAGAAGAAGAAGAGGAAGAAAAGAAGTAGAAGAAAGGCTATACTTAGCACCTTGAGGAAGACTCAGGTAAAGAAGTGAAGCTCAGGGGAACCAGCAGTTAGCGTAATGGCTATGTCGCTGGATTCCCACGTAGTCGACCGCGGTTCGTGTCCTGGACCCGGTGGCTTAAAACTCACGCCGGGCGCGTGTGCGTGCGTGCCCAAGATCCCGAGAGGAGAATGGAGGAGAAGGGATTGCGGCGTGACCATCCCCCCTGGGGGGTGATTTCTCGCTTTCTGTCTCTATGTCTCTCTCTGTCTGTCTGGCGAGCGCACGCGCCCTACAGTGAAAATCTCTCCAAAAAAAAAAAAAAAAAGAGTTCTTCCCTGGAACTTTTAAAAAAAAAAAAGAAGTGAAGCTCATAAGACGCTTGACAAAGAATGCTACCACAATAGAAAAAAATGAAGTTGTAGAAATTAAATAAAATGAAAAATGCTTTTGGAAAGAGAAAGCTAATTGAATAGGACAGGTGTAAAATTTCAGTTCATCCAATTTTAAAATTAAGAAATAAAACAATAAAAAATATGCTGTGGGCCCATCATGATTCTTTACTCTAGAGGATTTTTGTTCTCTTTCAGGGAAAAAAAAAAACTCGAGGTCAAGAAAGAGAAAAAATAAAAGGCCAACCGTATCTAGCCCATTTCTCATCTCGATCAGGCCTGTACCTCTATGTACAAATCACACATCTACTCAACAGTGGTTCTCTGAATTTATCTCCACGAGGTCCACATTCTCTCAAAAGCCTCATCTCTCATGCCTCTGCTTCAATATAACAGTCTCTCCTCTTTGGCTCCTTTCTACAGCTCTGCTCCAAGTAATAACTCCCACATAACTCCAACTCACTCTCCGTCATACTCGGGTAGTCCCAGTGTGTAAACGCATCCTATTCCCACTGGCACACTTCGACCAACATGAGTTCCAACTCTGAATACCCATGTCCCACTGGCGAAGTGGCTGTCATGGCCAGGGCTCTCTCCTCCACATGCTTGAAACCACCTTAGCAAATGGTTTTACTCCAGCTACTGGCTACAGAAGGAAGGGCTAAGGTGAGCATCCCTCACTTAGGATGTGGGATCTTTTATATTACCCAGGGCACCCAAAAGTACATAATAAAATCTGCTGTTCTAAACAGGATAGAGGGCTGGCAGGTGGCGTCGTGGTCAAGGTGCCAGATTCCCACACGGCTGACCATGGTTCAAGTCCTGGACCTGGTCACGTGCTTTCTTCTTCCTCTCTCTCTTTCTGTCTCTCTGTGGTCAAACTGAAGAATAGTAATAAACAAGTGAAATAAATCATTCTTTAAAAAAATAATCTGGATAGAGTCCAGAAGGTTGCTATACACGAGACCTCGCAAACACCTGAGACCGTCAAGATGAGAGCTGTTGTTTCCTGCCCTAACGTAGACAGCATTATTGGTGCAAAACTAAGCTCCCTGGGTAACCCAGAAGCAAATGTCCCATAGTTGGAGTGTTTCCTGCTTCAGTAACCTCGTAGGCTGTCCTAAGCTAAATATTCTTAAACACTCTTCACCCAGCCGAGTCTGCTGTTTTACGATAAGCAAATATGCTCTGTGTGCTAGGATCGCGTAGAATGCCATAGGAGAAAAGAAGTTCTAGTCCCAGAATAAAAACTAAAGGTCACCCATTATTTGCACTGCATTAAGCACGCATAAATCTACTACTTTAGGCCATGGAGAGTGAGTAGGTTTGTATTGTGGCTTTCAAGGTCTGTGAATTACACAGTCATCAATAAAGGACAAGGAGAGGATACGGGAGCGGCCTCATAGCCTTTCCTCCCTTTTTACTTAACTGCCTGCAAGGTCGGCAGGAAGGGGGCTGAGTTCTGTTCTGGACAACATTTCGCCAGAGAAGCAAGCCTGAGGTGCTGACAGAAATTATTTCATTGTCTTTTTAAGTGATGGACTCATTCATTCTCATGGTTATTGATTAGTGCAGAAAACTACATTACATCCTAATGAATGAGACTGTCTTAGTAAAAGGGGAAATGTTGCATAAAGTTAATTTAATTTTATACATGATTTTATTAATGAAAATGGTTTTATATGAAGTTTGAGACAATCTAGTACATTAACAAAATTCAATACGAGAAGCAGGACTATTTAGTAATATTTTATCTTGAAAAAAATGAGAAGCTATTGGTAAAAAAAAAGGGAAAGGAAAGATGGCTCTCTCCATTAAAAAAATTGAATTTTACTATGAAATAGTTTAAAAATTAAACCACACTGTTCTGAGATATTAAAGTATTTTAAGAAACTTCATTTCTATGTGATGCAGACCCCCTGAGAAGGTATTTGTGCCGTAATTGGATCTTAACATTCAATATATGGCTCGGTTCTTCACATAGTAAATATTTCTATTTTTTTTTTTGAGAGTTTTTTTTTTTTTTTTGGAGAGCTATAGGGTGCGTGCGCTCACCAGACAGACAGAGACATAGAGACAGAAAGTGAGAAATCACCCCCCAGGGGGGATGGCCATGCCACAACCCCTTCTCCTCCATTCTCCTCTCGAGATCTTGGGCACGCAACCACACACACCCGGCGTGAGTTTTAAGCCACTGGGTCCGGGACGTGAACCGCGGTCAACTACGTGGGAGTCCAGCGACATAGCCATTACGCTAACTGTGTAATGGCTAACTGCTGGTTCCCTTGTTTGTTTGTTTTGCTATAGGATGTGTGTACTCCCAGAAAGACAGAGAGAGACAGACCGAAAGGGAGAAATCACCCCCCAGGGGGGATGGCCATGCCACAACCCCTTCTCCTCCATTCTCCTCTCGGGATCTTGGGCACGCACGCACAAGCGCCCAGCGTGAGTTTTAAGCCACCGGGTCAGGGACTCAAACCACGGTCGACTACGTGGGAGTCCAGCAACATAGCCATTACGCTAACTGCTGGTCCCTCTATTTTTTTGTTTGGTTGTTTTTGAGAGATTTTTGTTATAGGGCATGTGCGCTCGTTGAAGAGACAGACAGAGATAGAGAGAGAGACAGAAAGTGAGAAATCACCCCGAGGGTTGGCCACACTGCAATTCCTTCTCCTTTTGGGATCTTGGGCATGCACGCACACAGGCCCGGCATGAGGTTAAGCTGCTGGGTCTGGGACTCGAACTGCAGTTGACTCCGTGGGAGTCTAACAATGTAACCATTACATCATCTGCTGGTCCCAGTAAGTATCTCTTTCTATAACCTTGAATTATTTAGCTGTTTCTTCTTAAGGGACTTCACTTGGGTGATATGATTTGATTCTTTGTACATGCAATATAAAAGGTGTGCTAGCTGATGTGTTTTTAAAACCCGCATTAAAATTTTAAGTAAGCATCGAGTGCCATAAGTAGCACAGAATGAGCAGACATGTGCGACACATAACTTACCTGGAGCAATGAACTGCTTCACATTGGTGAGTCTAGACTTATCAGCCACGCTGGCCATGAAGCAGCCCTTGGGCACTGACCAGTCACCAGGCTTGCTGCCTTTGTCCCTGTCTTCTGCTGTCTCGTATACCTCTACATGCGGAGGCTTCTCAGTCAGATTCTTGCTATAGTGACTTAACCCATACTGTGCAATCTGGATGGGGTAGAAATAGCCTTGAGGTCCCCACTGCGTAGATAACGGCACACCTAAAAACAGAAGCTGAATGAATAATCGTGTCTGGACATGTATAAGCCTAGTCTGAATACCACTCCTCACTTTCCTACTTCTGGGGAATGTCACAAGGTTATTAACAACTTCTGAGTTTCCTTACTATACTGTTTTTGGAATAACTAGAAATTAGTACCAAATTAACCAGACATAAAAAAAGCACAAATTAAGGTTCATTCAGTCTCATTATTTGCTGACAGACAGCAATGCAATGCTCTGAATCATGTTGTAAGGACTTTTTATGTGTGCTACTTTTGCTCACACTCTTCTGATGTCATGTTTCATAACCCTGCTTCATACACTCAAATTTTGCACGATTTAAATGCACATAGAGAATGTTACCCCAGTCTCGTTCTAAAAATTAACCTCCCCAGTTTTTTTAAACATTTGTGCTTAACAACTACTTACTCTTCTCTTTCTTCAATGTCAAGCTAATGACAAAGTACTGGGTTGTCAGAAAAGTCATGATGTATTTCTCTATGCTTTTCTAAGCAAAAATGCGTCATGACTTTTCTAACAAAGCAATATATCTTCTGATGGTTAAACTATTTGCTTAAGAAGATGGCTAGAACTAGGCAACTTGAAAATAAACACAACTTGAAATTGTTTTTCATATCCTTTCTGTCAAAGTGTAATTAAAAAAAAATCTTATTACTTTATTTAACTTTATTTAGCATTATCATTTTCAATTTGACCAGAGAGAGACAGAGAGAGATAAGTGGGGAAGGGAGAAAGTAAGCTGCCAGGTTCAGGACTCGAACCATGGTTGGCCAGGTGGGAGTCCCAGCGCCTTTAATTACCACGCCACCTGCCAGACCCCAAAGTGTAATTTTTTAAGAACAAGAAGTGGTTTTTTTTGGGGGGGGGAGGGGAGGGCGGGGGCTTCTTCTAATGTATGTGTGAGAGAGAGGAGTGGCTGACAATGTCTAGCTGTTGTGGTCCTCCGCTCCGCTGGGATCACAGGTGTGTACTACCATGCCTGGCCTGTTCAGATTAGTCCAGGACCCGAACCCAGGACTCCCATGTGGCCCCAGCCTCATGCACTTTACATTTGTGCCACCAAAACTGGGCCAGGAGCGTTTTTTGTTCATTTGTTTTTAATAATTTGCTATAGGGTGCATGAGAGAGAGAGAGAACCCTCCCGCCCCTCCCCCAGGAAGATGTTCACTCTGCAATTCCTTCTCTTGCATTCTCCTCTTGGAATTCTGGGCATGAACACACATTCATTATGTGCACTTTCCAAACTGTCAGGTCTGGGATTCAAACCCTGCAGTTGGCCATGTGGGATCCAGCCTTCTTAATCACCACGCCATCTGGCTGGCCCAGGAATGTTTCTTTTTAAAAAAAAAACAAAACAAATTAAAGGTGTATATTTAACCATAGAATCTTGGAATAGTTCATTTATAGATTACCTTTTGCAAAGTTCTAAGCAAAACCTTTAAATGTTTGGTATTAGTGTTTAGTCATCTCTGACATAAGAACTACACTACTGTACTCGCACAATGCTGTGTAGTTCAGTCATGTTGTATGTGTTGAGACGCAAACTCCTAACTGGAGTTCTAAAATAAATTAACGAGCATTTGATGGGCACAGCAAAGACTGAAAACCTAAAAAATCGTGTGTTTTGACAGAGTCTCAAACAATGTTTAAGAAATTAGGGACCCGGGACCAGCAGTTAGTGTAATGACTATGTCGCTGACTCCCATGTAGTCGACTGTGGTTCGCGTTCTGGATCCGGTGGCTTAAACTCACGCCGGACATGTGTGCGTGCGTGCCCAAGATCCCGAGAGGAGAATGGAGGAGAAGGGATTGCGGCGTGACCATCCCCCCTGGGGGGTGATTTCTCACTTTCTGTCTCTCTGTCTCTGTCTGGTGAGCGCATGTGCCCTATGGCAAAAACCTCTACAAAAAAAAGAAATTAGGGACCTAATGTAGTAAAAGACCTAGGCAACAGGTAAGCTTTCTGTATCCTTCTTCTAAGAGGGAACTCCTCATCCCCAAATTCAAACTGAGTGATTATCAATTAGTAAAAAGGCAAGTTTATATAATCCCATTGAATATGGACGATGACTACACCAGTCTGCAACTGGTATGAAACTGAGACCGACCAAAGGAATAGATTAAGAGGCCAGAAATACAGCCTGGTATCCTCAAGGACAGCAAATTCCAAAGTGCACTAATTACATTCCTAAGGAACTCCCACTGCCCGAGGCTGTAAAGACAATGACAGATCCGCAGTGTCTTGTCTTGTGGACTCGACACCTCCTTCCAGAGATGGCGCCTGGCTAATCAGGGAACAAGCCCTAACTGCTATATTAATGGGGCCACTGGATGGTCCCTCCTTCTGCCATCTCCTTTCAGAGGATAATAACTGTATTTCAATGCAAAATTTCCGGAGAGGCTGCGCCTTGCCCTTCCCAGTGAGAATTTGAGACTCTGAGGCAGGTTACTGGAACGGTCCCCTTTGGTGAGTATGATCTCGCTGCAGCCCGTAAGTCACACCGTCTGGTAGGCTGCCCTAGTGCAGATCTAGCCTGCTTCTCCCTGCTCAGTCGCAGTGATGAAAGGCCTGCCGGTAAGCTGCGCGTGTAAGCTGCGTGTGCCGTGTGACCCGCGCCCGCGGCTTCTCTCTCACCACATCAGGCCAGCACAACGCGAGTGGAGCGGACAGACACCAACCTTCAACCCCACTGATGCACTTGACTCTGTCTCGGACTTCCACGTTGTAGCCTTCAAAGGACATAAACACGCCGTCGGGGTGGTACGGAGCCCTCTGCGCGTAGACTTTGGAATAGCTGTGAGAGAACTCGAAGCGCTCGTAGCCATCGTACTGGACCACCTTCCCATACACATCGAAGTACTTCTCCACCCAAGTGAAGGGCAGGAAGACCTCACTGCCCTCTCGTCTCCCTTTAACCGTGTGCTCATCATTTATGAGACAGTCGATTTCTTCATATTTGAGCCCCAGCACCTTGCTCCCCCCGTTGCCATTGAAGCCACCCACGACAGGGGGCGCTTTCTGCTGTTCCTGGGGGCCGCCCTCCTCGGCCTGCTGCCTGGCCACGTGGTTGGCATAGCTGTTGCTCTCAGACGCTGCTGCTCTTTTGTCTAATCCATCCACTCGGAAGCCGCTACTCGAGTGCCGTGGAAACTGGATCGCTTTGTCGCTCGAACACTTATTCCACAAAAGTACTGTGACCAGAGTGAAGAGTGCGCAGATGATGATCAGAGTCTTATAGCTGACCCGAGCTGCCAAGCAACGCATATTCAGACCATGCCTGCGGGGACAAGAAGGCAGAGTCAGGCCGGGCGCGCTACTGGCATTCAGAGGTGCTCCGTGTTTTTACCGCGGCCCACCACGTTAGGAGTTTCATTAACTGCATGTGGTTAGGTCAGATTTAAAGTGACTAACTCCAACTTTTCAGCACAAAAAACAGTACCAAGAGGCACTCTCCGCTCAACTTTGGTGATGTACGTAACTGGCATAAGCCTCTAAACCAGGGGTGCTCGCGTTTCGTACTGTGCAGTTCTGCAGGCATCTCAGTCGTCCAGTGCCCCCCCACAGGCCAGAAGGAACACCTACATGGTTAGGTCCAGCAGTTAAATATTTATGCTCTCCCACCTTGTAGCTGTCTGAAAAAAGCGTAAGACACTTTTTTTTTTTTGTTTTTTTTTTTTTTTTTGGAGAGGTTTTGCACGTGCGCTCGCCAGAAAGACAGAGACAACAGAGAGACAGAAAGTGAGAAATCATCCCCCAGGGGGATAGCCACGCCGCAATCCCTTCTCCTTCATTCTCCTCTAGGAATCTTGGGCGCACATGCACACGCGCCCGGAATGAGTTTAAGCCACTAGGTCCGGGATGCGAACCGTGGTCGACTGCATGGGAGTTCGGGGACATAGGCATTACGCTAACTGCTGTTCCCACAGGAGACTTTCAAGGCAAATGCTGATGCCCGGGTCAGTGAAGGTCTGTGCCCCTCCCACCCGCAGCACGCTGTCAATGACCCTCTCCTGCTTGAAATACTCTCCTCCCCGTCCTAGGGCACCACTCTCTCCTGGGTCTCCACGTGTCCACCAGCCGCGCTGTCTCTGAGGCTTCCTTCTCATCTACCTGACCCTAAATGATGGCGCGCCTGAGGGTCCTAGTCCTCAGGCTTCTTCCTGGCTAATCAGTCCTTAGGGGCTCTCGACCATCTCAGGCCTTTAAATACGCCTTATACGCGGACTATCCCCAAATCCTAGCTCTAGGCCAGACCTTCCTTCAGAATGCAGAAATATTTATGTACTGAGTGCCAATCTGAAAATCTGGACACCATGACCTGGAGGCCAGACAGACTTCTCAAACATAACATCCAAAATTTAACTCCTCGCTTCCCTTAAGCTGTTCTCCCTTCCTATTGCTCATACTATTGGGTTGTTGGGAAAGTCAGGACACCTTTTTGCGTAGGGGCAGAAAAATATGTCATGACTCTCCACAACCTAATAAAAATCTTGACTCCTCTCTTCCTACTCCTATCCAGTCGGCTAGGAAATCCTGCTGGCTCTACCTTCAGATTACAGCTGGAATCCGACCTCTCTTCACCAACTCCACTGTGACCACCGCTTCAGAGCCACTGTCCTCTCCCAGGAGAACTGCAGTGGTCCAAACCGCCCTCTCTGCTGCTGCTCTGGCCCTACCACGCCCCCAAGTCGGCTCTCAATAGGGCGGTCAGAGTGTGGCTTCTGCATGGCAGGCAGACCTCCTCGCCATCCCCGTCCTGAGGGGAGGACTCGGTGCTGCTGCCCTCCTGGCCACGGTGCAGTGGTCCTGGGTCACCTGCTGCTGGGTCGCTGGGACACACAGCAAGCTCTGTGTTAATTGCATGTGCAACCAATGGGGTATTTCAGCCTGGGGGGAGTTAAGGGAGTCAAGTAATTACTTGTGGCCATGGTAGCTGTGTAATTAATTGTTAGGCGTAAATCCATGACTACTTATTTGATTGTCTGTAATTTCCCCCCTCTTTCTTTCCCCCACAATAAACCCTTTTGGCATAACAAGATTAAAAAAAAAGTTTAATGAGAATTAAACACTGAATTTCTACTTCTTGGCAAAGTTGATGGCGAATATGCAATTCACTCGTGTCTTTTAATTCAAAGAGAAGGTAAACTTTGAGTCCTCGAATGTCTAAAAACAGTTTTATTCTGCTCTCACCCTTGACAGATAGTTTGGCAGGATATAGAATCCTAGGTTGCATATTATTTTCTTTCGAAATGTTGTAGACAATATTTCACTGTCTTAAAGCATTAAAGATTACTCATGAGAGGGGTGAAAAGCTGTCTGGCATTTCTCACCTGTTCACGACTTCTCTCTGGATATTTTGTTTACCTTAGGAATTCTGCAGTTTCGCAAGAATGTGTCATGGTATGATGCCTGACTGTCCATGTCAACATCTGGTGTGCCTGGTCCATGTGAAAACTGTGTCTTCCGGGACCAGCAGTTAGCGTAATGGCTATGTCACTGAACTTCCATGTAGTCAACCACGGTTCAAGTCCAGGACCCGGTGACTTAAACTCACACCGGGCATGTGTGCGTGCGTGCCCAAGATCCCAAAAGGAGAATGGAGGAGAAGGGATTGCGGTGTGGCCATCCCCCTTGGGGGGTGATTTCTCACTCTCTGTCTCTCCCTGTTATTCTGGCGAGCACACACACCCTTCTTGGCAAAGTTGATGGCGAATATGCAATTCACTCGTGTCTTTTAATTCAAAGAGAAGGTAAACTTTGAGTCCTCGAATGTCTAAAAACAGTTTTATTCTGCTCTCACCCTTGACAGATAGTTTGGCAGGATATAGAATCCTAGGTTGCATATTATTTTCTTTCGAAATGTTGTAGACAATATTTCACTGTCTTAAAGCATTAAAGATTACTCATGAGAGGGGTGAAAAGCTGTCTGGCATTTCTCACCTGTTCACGACTTCTCTCTGGATATTTTGTTTACCTTAGGAATTCTGCAGTTTCGCAAGAATGTGTCATGGTATGATGCCTGACTGTCCATGTCAACATCTGGTGTGCCTGGTCCATGTGAAAACTGTGTCTTCCGGGACCAGCAGTTAGCGTAATGGCTATGTCACTGAACTTCCATGTAGTCAACCACGGTTCAAGTCCAGGACCCGGTGACTTAAACTCACACCGGGCATGTGTGCGTGCGTGCCCAAGATCCCAAAAGGAGAATGGAGGAGAAGGGATTGCGGTGTGGCCATCCCCCTTGGGGGGTGATTTCTCACTCTCTGTCTCTCCCTGTTATTCTGGCGAGCACACACACCCTATAGCAAAAACCTCTAAAAAAAAAAACCTGTGTCTTCCTATTCTCAATAAATGGATGTAGTATTTTCTGAGTATACTGAGTTCTTTTTCATATAATGTTCTAATTAGTTCTATTTTCTCTGCTGGTAAATTATCTAGTCATTTAGTTTCTCTTTCTTGCCATTAATTTTCCTCACACGCCCGGCAACCTCTGGTGACACTCATACTCACGTGATGACTAAAGTCACACTCAGGATGACTCATTGCTGACCTGGCTCTCCTCGGCTGAAGACGGTCTGCTTTTTGGCTAGTCTGCGCTCCTGAGGAAGAGAAGAGGAGGGAGCTCTGTGGGCCGGGTACAGCTGACTGACTGTTCTTTAGGCGGAGTGGGTGGGGAGACAGCGGACCTTTAAATACCAGAATGAAGGTGGCTTTTTCTCTTTTGTTCTGGGGACATAACATATACTTTAGAAGCCTTAGCCTTTCCTGAATTCTATGAAGAAAATCTGCCTGGTGTTTCGCCTGGGATTCGTGCCAGCTCTCTGTAGTTGGAATGAGAGAGGTATGGGGGAGTGAGGAGAGAAAACTGTTGTTCCTGCTTGCACCTAAACAGAGATCTAGAAATCTGTTCAGCTAGCATCCTCTGCTAGTCCTCCTATATACTGCGACCGGCTTCTTCATTTCTCATGTCTATACACTTTATTTCAGTGGGCCATCGGGAGGAAATGAGAGCTAGGAACGCAAAGATACATTTTATCCTGCACATTATTACTAGAAGCAAATATGCTGAATGCTAAAACACCCAACGGCATGCAAGCAAACCTTCAGAAGTCCTAGTTTAAAATAAAAATTTTAAGGGTTTTTGCACAGGGCATGTGCGCTTGCCAGAGAAAAGCAGAGACAGACAGTGAGAGAGAAAGGGAGCAAATTACTCCCTGGGGGGACGGCCATGCCGCAATCTCGTCTCCTCCATTCTTCTTGTGGGCAGGCACACGCATGCGTCAGGCGTGATTTTCAAGCCACCCAGTCTGTGCTTAGCCATGTGGGAGTTCAGGGCTGTAACCACTGCGCCACCTGCTGGCTCCCAGAAGTCGTTTATAAATCGGAGATTTCCTTATATTGCAGTAGAGGCAAACTGATAATGCTAAATGGTAATTATTTTTATAAAACCCAACACTGAAAACACTTACATGTCAGTAACTGAGTAACTTGTCAGCTATTCCTAACATTATGATCAATGACACAAAGAGAGTTTTCTGTTCCATCCTTTTGAAGTGCCCTTTCTCTAGGCCACCAATGAGAGTTACTGATAAGGAAACAAGGCTGCCATTATGATGAGGCAAGTGATGGGAAACTGAAAAGAAAAACAATCACATTAAAAACTTCCAATAGGCCCAGCTGCAATGGCACCAGCTGCAGGGCATCCAGTTGGGTTTGGATCCTGGGTTGACCTAACCATACTGGCAGGCTGAGGGGAGGATTGTGGCATGGCAAGCCTGCCAAGGGTACCTGTCTGTCGTTCTGTCTCAAGAAATAAATTAAACTTAAAACAAAACAAAAAAACCCTCTTATACACAGATTTTGTTATCTGATACTACTTACTAAATGCAACCAGGGCTTCTTAAAGAAACGGATGATTCCAAGTCTGGTTCTGGGTTGCTTTGCCATGCCGGAAGGTATGAAACTTTCAAATATCAACGGAATCATAATGCAGGGGGCCAAAATGCAGTAAGGAATAAATAAATCAAGACTGGAAAAATAGACTGTCAGCTAGAGCTGACAGAGACAGATACAGTGGAGGTTCACTATACGATTCTCTATACTTTTATGTTTAAACATGCCCATAACTTAAAAATACCGTATCATAGAAAAAGACACAGTCTGAAAGGTTCCCTTCCTTATTACTCAAAGTTGTGAGAATCGTGAGTGAAGTCTACAATGACATTCAAAAAGGAGAAAGCCCCAGAAAACCTACCTAATCTTCTGAGCTGGTAGAAA